TATACAAACCTCATGGTAACCACAAAACAAAAATCTAGAGCAGAGACATGAGACATTAAAAGAAGAAGAAACTGAAAAAACATCATAGAAAACCACCAAACTAAAATGGGAGATAGAAACACAAGAGAAAAGAAACAATGAAGATATAGAGCAAGCAGAAAACAAAAGATAAAATGGCAGTACTAAATCCTCATATAATAATAATCACCCTAAATGAAAATTCACCAGTCAGAAGACACAGTGGGGCTGGCCCCATGGCACAGTGGTTAAGTCCAGCATGCTCTGCTTCAATGGCCCAGGTTTGTGGGTTCAGACCTGGGGGTGGACCTACACTACTCATCAAGCCATGCTGGGGCAGCAACCCATATACAAAATAGAGGAAGACTGGCACAGGTGTTAGCTCAGGGGTAATCATCTGCAAAAGAAAAAAAAAGGCACAGAGTGGCTAGATGAATTAAAAAATAAGACCCAACTATCTGCTGCTCTGGGAGACTAACCTCAGCTCTAAAGACAAACATAAATTTAAAGGGATGGTAGACGGTACTCCAAGCAAATGGCAGCCAAAAGAAAGTGGGTGCAGCCAGACTCATGTCAGATAAAACAGACTTCAAGCCAAAAAAGGTAACACGAGACAAAGACAGCCATTACATAATGATAAAGGGGACAATCCATCAAGCAGACATAACATTTATTACTATATGTGCACCTAACATAGGAACACCAAAATATATAAAGCAATTATTAACAGACCTAAAGGGAGAAATTGACAGCAACACAATAATAGTAGGGGACTTTAACACTCCACTTACATCAATGGATAGAGCATTCAGACAGAAAGCCAACAAGGAAACACTGGCCTTAAGTGAAACATTAGACCAGATGGACTTAATAGATATAAACAGAACATTTCATCCAAAAGCAAGTACACATGCAACATTCTCAAGGAATATGCTGGGAAACAAAACAAGTCTCAATAAATTTAAGAAGACTGAAATAACATCAAGCATCTTTTCTAACCACAATGGTTTGAAACTAGAAATTAACTACAAGAAGAAAGCTGGAAAAAAATCACAAATATGTGGAGACTAAAGAACACCCTACTGAACAACTACTGGGTCAACAGAGAAATCAAAAAATACCTGAAGACAAATGAAAACGAAAATAAGACATGCCAAAATCTATGAGAGGCAGCAAAAGCAGTACTAAGAGGGAAGTTTATAGCAATATAGGCCTACCTCAAGAAAGAAGAAAAATCTCAAACAATCTAACCTTATACATAAAGGAACTAGGAAAAAAGAACAAACTAAGCCCAAAGTGATGTAGAAGGATGGAAATAATAAAAATCGAGCAAAAATAAATGAAAGAGAGACTAAAAAGACAACATGAAAGATCAATGGAACAAAGAGCTGGTTCTTTGAAAAGATAAAATTGACAAACCTTTAGCTAGACTCACTAAGAAAAAGACAGAAGGCTCAAATAAATAAAATCAGAAACAAAAGAGGAGAAGTTACAATGCATAACATGGTTGTACAAAGAATTATAAAAGACTACCATCAACAGCTATACAGCAACAAATTGGACAACCTAGAAGAAATGGATGAATTCTTAGAATCATACAATCTTCCAATAGTGAATCATGAAGAAATAAAAAATATGAATAGACTGATCACTGGTAAGGAGACTGAATCAGTAATCAAAACCTCCCAAAAAACAAAAGTCCAAGACCAGATGGCTTCACTGGTGAATTCCACCAAACATTCAAAGAAGATTTAATACCTATCCTTCTCAAACTCTTCCAAAAAACTGAAAGGAGAGAACACTTCCTAACTCATTTTATGGGGCCAACATTACCTTGATATCAAAACCAGACAAGGAGAACACAAAAAAAGAAAATTTCAGGCCAATATCTATGATGAACATAAACGTAAAAATTATCAACAAAATATTAGCAAACCAAATACAACAAAATATTAAAAGAATCATACACCATGAACAAGGGGCATTTATCCCAGGAATGCAGGGATGGTTCGACATCTACAAATAAATCAACGTGATACACCCCCATAACAAAATGAAGAATAAAAATCCTATTATCATCTCAATAGATGCAAAAAAATCATTTGACAAGATTCAACATGCATTTATGATAAAAATTCTCAATAAAATGGGTATAGAGGGAATGTACCTCAACATAATAAAGGCCATATATGACAAACCCAAAGCTAATATCATAGTCAATGGTGAAAAACTGAAAGCTATCCCTCTAAGATCAGAAACAAGACAAAGATGCCCACTCTCACCACTCTTATTTAATATAGTATTGGAAGTCCTAGCCAGAGAAATTAGGCAAGAAAAAGAAATAAAAGGCATCCAAATTGGAAAGGAGGAAGTAAAACTGTCACTATTTGCAGACGACATGATTTTACATACAGGAAACTCTAAAGAATCCACCGAAAAACTATTAGAAATAATAAATGAATACAGTAAAGATGCAGGGTACAAAATCAATACACAAAAATATGTTGTGCTTCTATACACTAGCAATGAATTAGTAGAAAGAAAAATTTTTTTTAAATCCCATTTATAATCATAACAGAAAGAATAAAATACCTAGGAATAAATTTAATCAAGGAGGTGAAATACCTGTACACTGAAAACTGTAAGACATTATTTAAAGAAATTGAAGACACAAAGAAATGGAAAGATACCCTGTGCTCGTGGATTGGAAGAATTAACGTTGTTAAAATGTCCATATTATCTAAAGCAATCTACAGATTCAATACAATCCCTATCAAAATCCCAATGACATTATTTACAGAAATAGAAGGAAAAAAAACCTAAAATCTTATGGAACCACAAAAGACCTCCAAATAGCCAAAGCAATCCTCAGAACAAAGTACAAAGCTGGAGAAATCACACTCCTTGATTTCAAATGATACTACAAAGCTATGGTAATCAAAACAGCACGGTATTGGCAGAAAAACAGACACATAGATCAATGGAACAGAATTGAGAGCCCAGAAATAAACCCACACACCTATGGATAACTAATTTATAATAAAGGAGCCAAGAACATACAATGGAGAAAGGAAATTTCCTCAATAAGTGGTGTTGGGAAAGTCAGACAGCCACATGCAAAAGGATGAAACTAGACCACTATCTCACATCATACACAAAAATTAACTTAAAATGGATTAAAGACTTAAATGTAAGACCTGAAACCATAAAACTCCTACAAGAAAACATTGGCAGTATGCTCTTTGACATTGGTCTTAGCAGTATCTTTTGGGATATGTCTCCTCAGGGAAGGGAAACAAAAGCAAAAATAAACAAATGAGACTACATCAAACTAAAAAGCTTCTGCGTGGCAAAGGAAATCATCAACAACATGAAAAAACAACCTACTGAATGGGAGAAGATATTTGCAAATCATACATGTGATAAGGTGTTAATATCCAAAATATATAAAGAACTCATACAACTCAACAACAAAAAAACAACCTGATTAAAAAATGGACAGAGGATCTGAATAGACAATTTCCAAAGAAGACATACAGATGGCCATTAGGCACATGAAAAGATGTTCAACATCACTAATTATTAGGGAAATGCAAATCAAAACCATAATGAAATACCATTTCATGCCCATTAAAATGACTATTATCAAAAAGACAAGAAATAACAAGTGTTGGAGAGGATACGGAGAAAAGGGAACCCTTGTACAGTGCTGGCAGGAATGTAAACTGGTGCAGCCATATGGATAACAGTATGGAGATTCCTTAAAAAACTAAGAGTAGAACTACCATAAGATCCAGTAATTCCACTTCCGGGTTTTTATCCAAAGAATATGAAAACACTAACTCGAAAAGATACCTGCATCTCTATGTTCCTTGTAGCATTATTTACAATAACCAATATATGGAAACAACCTAAGTGCCCATTGATGGATGAATGGATAAAGAAGATGTGGTATATATACACAATACTACTCAGTCATAACAAAAAAGGTGAAATCTTGCCATTTGCAACAACATGGATGGACCTTGAGGGTACTATGCTAAGTGAAACAAGTCCGAAAGAGAAAGACAAATATTGTATGATTTCCCTCATATGTGGAATATACCAAAAAAAAAAAAAAAAAAAACCACCCAAAATAAATGAACAAAAAAAACAAACCAAAAACAAACACACAGATACAAAGAACAGGTTGGTGGTTACCAGACGGAAAGAGGGGGTGGGAGGAGGGTAAAATGGGTAAAGGGATCAATTTTGGGCAGATGGATGAAAACCAGATTTCGGTGGTGAGCATGCTGTAGTGTATACAGAAGTCAAATTATCATGTGGTACACATGAAACTGATATAATGTTATAAACCAATGTTAGCTCAATTAAAAAGAAAAGACTTAATTATTGATTAGATGTGGCTGAAAAAGAAAAGAAGAAAACTAAAATGACTCCCAAATTTCAAATTTTGATGATTGGATAGAAGGTAGCACCACTCAATGAGAAAGAGCAAACAGAAGGAAGAACAAATTTTGGGAGAAAGATGATGAATTCGATTTCTGAAATATTAGGTTTGAGATATTTGTGGAGCCTTCCAAGAGAAAAACGTCTAACATGCACTTGAATACATGGGTTTGGAGCTCAGGAAAGAATATCTGGGTTAAAGATAAAGTTTTAGTTGTTATGAGCATCCAGATGATAGCTGATTCCATGAGAATTAACAAGATCAGCCAGGAGGTCATGTACAGTGAAGAGAGAGGACAAGGTGGGAACCCAGGAGTACAACGATATTTAAGGATGAGCAGAGGAGACTGAGGAGGAACAGTAAGAGGTAGGGGGAAAATACAGCATCTTAAAAGCCAAGGAAGAAACGATTTCCTATTTTCTTTTAACTAGCAGGATACTTTTGTCATCATAAGCATTTTCCAAGGGAAAGAAAAATAAATGAACACCAAATATGAATACAAATATAACTAGAAGAATTCTTCATTCCTTACTTCATCTCTGCTGATGAGTTCATTGGAAAAAGTGAGTCCAGGCATAAGACCTCTTTTCTTTAGCCAGAATATAGCAGCAAAAGATCCCGAGAAGAAAATTCCTTCTACAGCAGCAAAGGCCACCACCCTTTCCCCTAGGAGACATAAAATAGTTTCACTTTCTGAAATATCATATACTGCAGACATTTTCAAGCTTACATATACATAATATATATTTTACACATATTTTTTATAACAATACCACAACTATTTTGCCAAAAAACAAAATCAACAAGTTAGTGCCATAGCCAAGGGTCTTCAGAGGAAGAAATTCACCACCTCTACCTACTAGAATAGAAACGCATGTCTACTTCAAATCCTATGCCAGACACTGGACTCCTATGAGTGTCTTGGTATCTGGACAAAGGAGAGCTTTCCATACCCAAAAAAAGAGGTGATTTATCTGTGCACCACACATGCCTGTGAGCACAGGTACACGCGTGTGAGTGCAATATGTGCACATACGTATGTGTGTGTACTGGAGTAGAAAACAGAAGACAGATTTTATCACAAACGTCTCCCTCTTTTTGGTCAGAAGAGGGGAGGTTACTGAGGTTTATATTTTTAGAAATTTAAGGTATCTTACAGATTAGCAGTAAACATTTCAAAAAACATTGCCATGTACCTGCAATTTAAAAAAATAGATAAATCCAGCTGACAATAATAAATATATCTATTGGATAAAATATCCCATTTAAGCAAAAATACTGTCTTCTGCTAAACCTATAAGGCCCAATTTCAAAGGCTACTCACTGTTACTCAAGGACTTTGCAGAAGCCCATCTCCTAAAACCTCTATAGTGACATCATATTTGTAACACTATTCCTGGGGATGATTATAGGTCTCACCCAAAAGAAGATCATTCGCCAGCCCCTTATACCACATTGCACACGCTCAGGAGAAATATTCATATATATGTCTGTCTAGGGAGAAAGGCTCATTCCACAAGACTGTGAGATAAAGGCAGCTGCGTGCTTGAACCAACTACAGACCTGTCTCATAGATGACATCGTAGTTTGTATCCCAGTACTTGTCCCAGTACCAAACGCAGTGGCAGGGGTTTAATAAATGTGTCCTGAACTGAATCTATGGAAACTATAAAAGCACTAGATGATAAAAGACATTACAATCCATTCCATAGAAATTGCCAAAATTTGATGCTGAAACTGAATAAATATTTATAACTTCCAGAACAAAAGTAATTATATAAATTTCAAAACGAAAGTCAACTAAATTTAAATATTTCTGGCTGCCCTTAAATAGTGCTCTGGTTCGTCCTTGGTCTTTTCCTTGATTATCTTAAACAAACCAAGCCAGACAGATCAATTGTATCAAATACTTGTCTATTAATAGGCCAAAACATCAGAAAAACTTCTATAGGATTTTATTTTTATAAACACAATTTAAAAAGTCACTTTGAAAAAAATGACAGAAGAAATAGAAATTAAATAAGCACTTACTGAGTACATACTGTATGAAGGAATTAGCAAGAGAAGAATCTTTAGTGTAGTATATGCTAAGTATTAAAATATAATAATAATAACTTAGTTCTGCTTACTCTCGTAAAACAAAAATGGCTCTTTAGACTATTTAGTTATATTTGTTTTAAGATGGAGATTTGTCATTAGGTTAACTATAGATTACTATATATTTCATCTTACTACTAATAAGATAGTGGATAGTTATAATTGATACATTTTTAATCGACATAAAGGTGATGTCATGTGGACATTTATCTGTAAGGGAACTAGACTATAACTTAATACAAACATTGTGAATAAGAGGAAAATTGTTATTTTAACTATTCTATGCATTCTCATGAATGCTAAAAAATGAAAATCATAACAAATAGTTATAGAAGGCTATTCTTTTTTGGAGAGGATTCATGGATTATAAGGGTTAAATTTTACAAATTTTAGAGAATAGATGAGAACTAAAAAGAGACTTCCAAAACATTTCTTCTAAAAGCCATAATGAATGTGAAGATTCCATGATTTGTCTTAGAGATGGAAACGTAGGATGTATTTTTTAGATACAACTGACCTCTATGATGCAATGCAGTAAGACTGTTAACTAATACTTTTTTGAGGTTTGACATGTAACTTCATTACACATATTAAGCTTGAATCTATATACTTAATGTTATAAAATTCTTTAAAGATATTTTTTAAACTAAGCAGATATTTAACTAGGAATTTTTAGCTCTACAGGAATTGAATCTCCTTAAAACACATCAACTTTCAAACAATCTGATGATTTTTTTTTTAAAGATTGGCACCTGGGCTAACAACTGTTGCCAATCTTCCATTTTTTTTTTTTTAAGGATTGGCACCTGGGCTAACAACTCTTGCCAAACCTTTTTTTTTTTTCTGCTTTATCTCCCCAAACCCTCCCCCCCCACCCCCGTACACAGTTGTATATCTTAGTTGCAGGTCCTTCTAGTTGTGGGATGTGGGACGCCGCCTCAACGTGGCCTGACGAGCGGTGCCATGTCCACGCCCAGGATCTGAACCCTGGGCTGCCGCAGCGGAGCACGCGAACTTAACCACTCGGCCACGGAGCCGGCCCCTGATGAGATTTTTTAAGGAGTATTCTTAGGTTCTTTTTAACGAAAAGTAAAGGATTAGAGGAGTCTGGATGTGAGGCAAGAACAGTTGCTGTACTGGGCTCTAATCGGTGCAGAAGTCACCAAGGTCACTAAGAGTGCTTGGCAAGGCCCTAAGCCAGATGAAAGAGCTGCCTTTGTCAACCTAAAGCTACTAATAGTGCAGGTGGCACAATTAGTTCACAAAACTGCACTTCCCCAGCTGGTTAAACGGATGTACAAGTGTGCTGCCAAGCTAGACAGTAGTTCATGTTATTGTCTTTTAGCTCCACTCCCAAAGAGGAAAGCCACCAATGTGCTCTTCACTTTTTCCCTTTCCCACCACCCATTCCACTCCCCCCTACACTGTTTTAGACCATGTTTTTTCCTCTGAGACCCTGAGTCAGAACCCTAAATGGGGTTTACCTTGAGTAAGAAACACGGAGAATTCAACTGGAGCCCCTGATGTTGTTGCATGCTTACTGCCACCCTCCTCTATTTTCTCTACATCTAGGTTACTCTCTTTGGCAGTATCATGAAATACATGCTTTCTGCGAGCCTGTTCATCATTTTCCATCAGTACCCATCCATACTAATATTTTCAGCGCATATGAACACCTTGATATTTCTCTTCTTTTTTCCATAAAGCCAATATTTCTCAAAGTGTGCTTCTCAAACCACTTGTGAGGGAATCAGCTGGGTATCAAACGCAGATTTCTCAGTCCCACCTGCGCCTCCTAAATCACTCTCTGGTGAGGACTACGATTCTGCAGAGTTTTTCCACAAATTCTAGGCTGATTTTTATGCACATTGAGAACCACAGCTTTTCTCATTCTGAAAATGAACCAAAGGCAATGCAAACATATCTGTTTCTTCCTTGATATATTACATGCTTGCCCATATCTTACATTACATCACTGGTTCTCGATGGGTTATCCAGGTGTCCCTGGAGATCCACAGACCCAGGAGGTCTGTGAGGTCAAAACTATTTTCATAATAACACTGAGGCACTATTTATCTTTTTAACTATCATTCTCTCATGAGCGTACAGTGGTGTTTTCCAGAGGCAGTGTGACATATCCACAATAATCTGAAAAGCCTCAGAAAATGCTCCTCCCTTTTCTAACAACATATCTGAATGAAGGTGGATTTTCCTTGTATACTTCAACTAAAACAACAATTCTGCAACAAACTGAATGCAGAAGCAGATATAATCCAGCTGACTTCCATTAAGCCAGATATGAAAGAGATTTGCAAAAATGCAAAACTATGCCCTTCTTCTCATTAATTGTTTTGGAAAATATAGTGTTTTTTCATAAATATATGTTATTTATGTTAAAATAAAATCAGTACTACCATTATTTTAAAATGCATTAATAATATTTTTAAGTTTCTTGGTTTTTAATTTCTAATACGGAAATATCAATAACCCACACAAACAAAAGCACTTTGCAGTCCTCAATAATTTTTAAGAGTGCAAAGGAGTCTTGAGACCAAAAATTTTGAGACCTGATTTCCCTAAATAACGAATAAAAGCAGAAACTAAAGACCACCAATTATGAAACAGATAAGAATGAGACAGGTACTTAGAGGTATTCAAATAAAATATCTGAATATTTTATTAGATTTAAAGACACTTATTGAACAACTGTGTATATGATACAATGTTAATCCTTCCTTAAAAAAATGTTACTGGACCTCAACTCATCCATAAGGGTGTTTGCAATTAACTTATTATCTGTGAAAAATAAGCCTATTATTGCAAACTGTTTCTTGCTCTAGTTGAGCACACTAATTTTTAGTTTTTCAGAAACTACATATTTGTTCAATGAAAAATGTAAAGACTTTGACTTGCTTTAAATCCTTAAAATAAATATTCCTGAAAGCAGACATAAATTTTGGATTGCCATAATACACTTGTCAGATTCTATGTGACTGACTCCTATTTACCTGTAATTATGCACTGACACCTTAACATTTCAACTTTCAACTTATTAAACAGAATAGATAAAAGCTTTAGCTTATTTTATCACTGGTTTCTAGTTAATTATTAGAAATAATGATTCTACTAAAGATGCATATTGAGACAGTTGTACTCCTTTTCCATTCCGTGCCTTTGATTAGTACTGGATAGTCATACCCCGTAAAATAATGTTCTATCACCCGAGGCAAACTTGATCATATATAAATTAAAGCTACATACCAAAAGTAGACTTTCTATCTGCTATCCATTGCAAGGCCCAATCTGCTTTTTTCTTAACATATGGCATTGTTTCAATTGCATTAAATAAAAATTCCCTGAAAAAAACAAAAGAATTAATGGCAAAGTTATTCACTTGTTTTTCTTAATTAGAACAAATTTTCATAGGTTAATCAGAGAAATAATTGCACCTCTAAGGTATGCTACTAGAGCTGTAGTTTTTCTGTATTTTTGCATGTCCATAAAATATAGAAACGAAAATAAAACTCAAATTAGTGGTTTGGATCTAGTTTGAAACTAAATTGACTAACTTCAAATATTCAATTGCTAAACAGAATGAGCTCCAGAGATTAACAGGTTCTATACAAGCTTTTTTTTAACCCAACACATTATTAACCAATAGAAAATATTATACTCCTAAACTTCCATATTTGAATATTTCCCTAACATTTAGTTTTGGCATAAATTCTGCTCTTAACATAACCAAGCAATAGGATAAAGCTTTGTAAATAAAATCCCAGCAGTAATACCTTTTCTTGGGATCTCTGATGTAAGTGTCTATTAGCAAACTGTACATCTCTGAGTGAACATTCTCGATGAGAATTTGGAAGCCATAGAAACAGCGAGCCTCTGGAACCTGCACCTCCTGACTAAAGCGCTCCACCTAAGAAAATAAGGGAAACAAACACATCCAATTCTGTGGCCTCTCAGTAAACACTGCAAATCAGAACCTGGACATCATAATTATCACTTAAAAATTGCCTGTCATGCCACAAACAAGTTAGAAAGACCACATGGGCTATTGAAAGCAGTACGGTTTATCCATCAATCCTCTACAATAAGTTACTTGCATAATATATTCTTAAGCAATTAAATAAATTGACCTGTTAGGTGGAGATACTGTCTATATAGCCAAGTAAATTTTAGAACATCTACCAAAAATAATTTTGCTTTGCAAGATTAACCTCAAGTCATTTTTATTTTCCAACAGTAGACAGTAGACCTATTGAAGCCCCTACAAATTCATGATGAAAGTTTGTATATTTCTATTCTCTTTAACAAGAAAGCACGCCTCCTGGCCAACCAGAATGCAAGTATAAAAATGGGAAGCCAGAACACAGCGCTCTATTACAGAACTCCAGAAGAGTTATTAAGGTGCAGGTTCTCTATTAGGATCACTATCTAAGGGTAAAAATCCAACTCACATTTATGCACTGTAAGTAGTTTTGATTGGTACAATATGCTCGATTTCATGATATTTACTGGCCAAATGAAAGAAGTGTATCCTTTCCTCTGATACTTCATCAGAAAGACATTTTCAAGAGTTAAGCTTCATCTAGTTCACTTCTTAGATATCATTTTTCAGGCTCAGTCTAATTATCTTACCGCCATTATCATCATTTAACTGCTGAATGAGAAAAAAAGTAAAATAAAACAAAAATCTTACCAAATTTTCATTCACAATTCCATCACTGGCTGCAAAAAAGGCTAAGACATGAGAGATAAAATACTTCTCATCTGATGTAAGCTTGTTCCAATGAGGGAGATCCTTGGATAAGTCAACCTGAAATAAAAAGATTTTCAAAATTTTAACTTGGAGTTAAATTCTCTTAGTCATAGTACAACATATATTATGTTTGCTAAAAGATACAAGTAATTTTCAAGAAACCCAAGTATTGTGAGTACCTTTTTAACATGATGAATGAAAAAGCCACCTGTGTATTCCATTTGTTCTCTTATCCATGTCTAACAAAAAACTTTCTAAAAACCACAGACAGTTAGGGACATTCAGGTGTGCCAAGCACTATGACCCAATTTTAAAATACTAGATTTTTGTTTTGTTTTGGTTTTTTGCTCTATATATTAACTATAATTTAACAAAGATGTTAACAATATAACAATACAATATAACAAAGATGGGTAAGTGGGTAAAATTAGTATAATAGAAGCTACAAAAATTGGTGCTTTCTGATTTTTAGTGTAAATCTCCTCCATTCTAAATACATTTATTTAGTGCTTATCATGTGCCAAGTAACATTCTAAACATTGCATTAATCTCATTAAGGAGATTTATCTCATTAATCAGCATAACAACCCAATGAACCAGATTCTATTAGCCCAATTTACCGATGAGGATACACAGAGAGGTTAAGCAACTTTACTAGTTTTATAGCTAGTAAGTGGTAGAGCCAAGATTTGTACCTAGGTAGTCTGGCTCCAGAGCCTGCATTCTTAACAGCATGGGTTTACATGTATAGAATCAGTCTCCAAAAAAATAGGTAAATAGACAGATTCAAATATATCTATCCAAATAGATATATGTATCTTTATAGATAAATACACACACACACACACACACACACACACACAGAGCAAGAGTGCTGTGTAGGTATTACCCATCATATTCAAAGATGAAGAGAATGACTACTTGTGTGTTCAGTTGGACTACAGAGTAACCATTTGCATGACCAACTGTCCTTACCAAACCAGCAAGTATTTCGTAATTTGCTGTGTTCAATTCATTTCCTAGGTGGAAAACGCCAAACTAACAGAAAGGCTTCTACCACAATGCTGTCTGCCGGGTGGTTGTGCCAGGTTAGATGTGTCTGAGGGCAGAGTCAGAAGGGAGGAACACTGTGAATTCCAGCTGGCAGCTCAGAAGTGAGTGCACTGTTTGGGTGGTCCCTCTTTGTGTGACAGCTCCATTCTGTATAATCAGGTAAGTCTCTCAATTGAAAGCAGGGTGCCAAAGACTTTCACTCTCATTTTTCTATGGCTATAAATGCAACTTTATTTATTCTGCTGACCATAAGTAAAGAGTAGTGTTATTTGGTCATAGCAAACCAAAAAGCTGTTTAAAAATAGAAAATGTTCTAAAACATATTGTTAGTAAAAATCTGGCTGACTGAATGACATTTTTGCAGCAAGAAAAGCGTTTATAGACAGTAGTCTAAACACAAAACAATGGAGAACTCTGTATTTAGTCTCAGTAATTTCAAACTTTACCTTATACAACTGATCTTATTCAACGCATCTTACAAAAAAGTTAAAACTTTTCAATGTCCTCTAACAGAATACGTGAACACTGTACCATAGAACATGAATGCTGATGAAAGTGATGCCACTTACCTCTTCCGCTGTCCAGAAGGATGCCTGTGCCTGTTTATACATTTTCCAAATATCGGGGTACTGGATTGGAAAGATGACAAATCGGCGAGAACTCTTTCTCAGGAGAGGCTCTTCATTTGACTTCGCTTCATTTTCGTTGGTATCTGATGATAATCTCTTTGAAAAATAAAGTACAAACACCCATTTTGTGTAGACATTTCCCCTTTATTCATATCTAAATATACATCTGGGAGCGTTCGAGAGACAGCATAGGCTTGGGAGCCAGTCTGCCTGGGTTGAATCCTTACTGTCATGTGGTAGCAGGTTAATGGTGTTTGGTTAGTTGTGTGACTGCAGGAAGCTGCTTAACTTCTCTGAGCCTCGGTTTCCTCACCAGTAAAATAATACCTACCTCATGGGTTAATTTTGATGATTACAAGCACTTTAAACAGAGCCTGGTACATAATAAGCACCCAAAAATATTATTGCTACTTTGAAGATAAGCATAAAACTAGACCCATAAATGTCATGGTGGGCAAACTGCTAAGTTTGTAGACAAAATATCCCTTTGGCACCTCTCTCAGAGATAGAATGTTGGCACAAACAGGGTTCTGTTATAAGCTACTTTTTTATTTTAATATTTTCTTTTCTAATATTAACTGAAATATTATAACATTTATCTGAAAACTCCTTACCAACAACTTAACAGCCTTTGTTTATATGAACCTTTCCACCTACCAATTTGTTTTTGCTTTTGACAAGTTAACATTACTGCATAAGGTCTCACTGTGATGTCTCAAAACTTTGTGGAATAAAGTGAGAAACACACACCTATATATAATCTGCTTGGAAACACGATGAAACTCTAACAGGGGACAATGCCACATACATTTTCTTTAAATAGCAAAAGTATCAGAAGAGTGGTGCACATATGAGACAGAGTATATACAAAGTATACACAAATAGGCTAAAAGGGTATAAATCAAGATTTTGGGATACATTTAAATTCTAGACTCCTAACTCAAACTCTCTCTCTCCTGCGCCATGCCCATCCATCAGGTTCCTTCATCCACACCACTGCCTCCACCAATCCTCATACCTCTCTGAAGCACGTGTGTTAACGCAAATGAGACTAAGGCAAGATAAAAGAAAGACCTCAAATCAAAGCATGAGGCTATACAAATACAGGCGGAGCTTGCATGCTTCACACATACTGCCACTACAGAACAGACCGTCTTATTTCATAACTACTTATTTAAAAGTGTGAGCCTCCCCAGATAGAGCACCTGAGCCCGCAAGAGTAGAGACTAGTTTTTATTTATTGTGGTGTTCCCAGAGTACTGTGTCAAGCACAATGTCAATAAACATTAGCTAAGTAAGTGAATAGGCTGCTAATTTCTCTTTATCCTGTGCTCAGATTACTGGATAACTTTAAAGTTTTTAAATTTAACATAAGACCACAATACATCCGTGAAATAATCTGATAACCATTCAGATCAAGCCTTCTCTGGGTGCCCCCACGTCTCCCCCCAACACACACAGGCCTGGATTAGGTCCCTAACATAGCACATAGCTCACTGCCACTTAATTTCCTGTTATTTGCCTACAGTCTCCTCTTGACTATGCTTTTTGAGAGTAGAAAGCAACTTTACTCTTGCGGAATCCCTAGAGCCTACGATAGTACCTGGCACTTAGTCGACATTCTTCCACAAATATTTGAGCAAATTTCTAAAATGAAAGTTGTTAAGTTTTTTGTTTATTTGTGTTGCCATTGAAGGCTTACAACCTCAAAAGTGGCATAAGATACTGAGACACGGCAGTTCCAGGCTCTAGAACAGGAGGTATACATAAGAGCAGGTCATCTGAGTCTGGCATCAAGGCTGTTCTGAGCCGGCACTACATAGATGCTTTATACACATTATTCTGCTTAATCTGTACAACTCAGTCACACAGCAATATTCTCATTTTACAGATGGGGAAACTAAGTCTTGAAGGATGTAAATAACATACCCAGGATCCCATTACTAGTAAGTGGCAGAAATAAGACCAGAACTGAGATATATATGTCTGAACTTAAAGTCTTGCCTTAAGGTACAGCTCTGTATGTATGGATAGCAGCTAGAGTGGGGCTAGCCTACATCTAAAATCCAGAATTTGAAACAGTGAGATGAACAAAGGCTAAAAGGAGTATACACTACTATTTCCTGCTAAGTAAAGTCAGTTTAACAAATGGTAGTGATGTAACCAGTGAAATGACTGGGGGAGGAAACCACCAAATTTGATTTTAGGAAAAAGCAAGAAAAATAAAAGCAATTTCTTTGTAAATAAAGTTGAAAGAACCAAGGTAATTTGAAGCTGGTGAAAAACAGTCAAAATGCTAAGGTTTAAAGCAGTGATTTTTAACTGGTATAAGTTTCAAAAGAACTGGTAACACTTTCTCAAAATGCATTAGCTTCCCACCAGGTTAAAATCATAATATGTAGTGAGGTCAGGAAGCATGTTGTTGATGGGGATGTGCTTCACAGGTGAATGATGAGACAGGAAAATTAAGATTGAAAATCAGCTTTTTGGAAATTGCCACCCCTACAGCAGAACTTGACATGAATCAAATGACCATATTTTATTCCAGACTGTTCATTATAGTACAAAATTGCGTTCACTTACAATAAGTGCAGAGTATTATTCATGTTTTCAGGCATGTCATTTGATCTGCATATCATCATCTGTAAATAAAGACAATAATACTTGCCATACTTATTTCAAAGGAATGTTATAAAGATCAGAGGAGCTAATATCAACAAAAGTACTTTGCACACTCTCAAGTGCTTTTTAAATTATTATTGTTATTATTGACTGTTGGGATGTTTCTGGTTGGCCTTCTAAAGGTTGTTCCTATATTCAAAGAACTGATAAAAGAACTGTCATAGTAATTTGATTAGTCAATACCTTCTACAACTGCCCTCTAGGAACCTTCCTTCATGAAATAACTAGAGAACTTCTGGAAAGGCTTAAAAAGTGAGATATTGAAATTTAAAGCCCAATTTAAAAGGCAGAGGTCTGCAGTCAATAGTTATTTCAAACTTGTCTTGGCCCACATTGTTCTTCCTGACTGTGCTTTTATCACCACCATGCAAAATTTTGATACGAATCTTCATTTTTCTTTTGTTATATATTTTGTCACTGGGGTACCGGTATTATTCAGAGCTGAAATTCTCTACCTTCACTATATTTGCTATGTGGGCCATACTGAAAGTTGGAAGGACATCATGAGCAGTAATCCTTTGGCACCAATCATCCTGGCCCTGAATAGGGTTTTTAAATGTTGATAAATAATTGATCAACGGCAGGATCTATGAAAACTGCTGAAGGCTAGTACCTTTAAGTTAGAATGAAAGTCACATTTGTACATACATTCTTCCTGTTCCATCCTGATAATATGTGGATTATTAAGAGAAGAATTGGGGGCCGGCCCCGTGGCCGAGTGGTTAAGTTTGTGCACTCCACTTTGGCTGCCCAGGGTTTTGCCGGTTCAGATCCTGGACGCAGACATGGCACCGCTCATCAGGCCATGCTGAGGCGGCGTCCCACATGGCACAACCAGAGGGACTCACAACTAAAAAAAATATATACAACTATGTACCAAGGGGCTTTGGGGAGAAAAAGGAAAAATAAAATCTTTAAAAAAAGAAAGATTTTACAATGTGAAGAGAGCGGGTAACCAACATAAACCTTTGAGCTGGGCTAGAAATGATATATATTTTTTTAATTACATTTTTTTTTCCTTTTTCTCCCCAAAACCCCCCGGTACATAGTTGTATATTCTTCGTTGTGGATCCTTCTAGTTGTGGCATGCGGGACGCTGCCTCAGCGTGGTTTGATGAGCAGTGCCATGTCCGCGCCCAGGATTCGAACCAATGAAACAGTGGGCTGCCTGCAGCGGAGCGTGCGAACTTAACCACTCAGCCATGGGGCCAGCCCCTAGAGATGATATTGCTTATTTTCATAATGCTTAGAAAAATCCACACGCATTTTAATACAATGTCACGAGAGTCATACATTCCAAAGCTCTAGGTTCTCCAGGGTATACTCTGTGGACCTGGGCTAAGAATCCAATTTTAGAAGAGAAAACAATGTGAAAAAAGGCATGATGGTATGTGACATTTTTAAAGAACTAGAAGTAACTTTCTAAGTCTGGACTTCATGGGATGTGGGGGACAACAGAAGGAGATGAAACTATAAAGAGGGCAGAAAACACTTCCCAATGACTTTTCCAAAAATGCTGTGAAGAACTCTGGGGCCCCTCTGATGTCATAAACGTTAGATTAAAATTTCACTTTTAAATGTGTTTTGAACCTTTTAAAATAGTAACAAAAATAAGAGAGAGAAATATTTTATACTGTGCAGAAAGGAAACTACTATGCATGAACTTGTGTTTCCAGGTTGTTGTCTTTTTTTTGTTTCGTTTTGGATGACCTTGGATGAAAGTTTCTCTAGCTATCTCTGCTTAACTGAAGAATATCATTTTAAGATAGGCAGTTAAAAAACAACAATAACAAAAACCCTGTAACTATTGATATCTATTTTTCATGAGCAAACCAAGATTTTTTTTCAAAACCAAACGAAAAAGAAAAAAGAATAATACTAATAGTAACAAAAATACAGTAGAGACTCCCTTATTCAAAGTGACCCAAACCGGTAGTTGAAAATTTGTTAAAGTAAGGAATTTTAAGAAAAAATGATATAGTCAATCTATTTGATTTAACTTAAAACATATAAATAAACAAAATGAAAAGACAACTCACCAACTGGGAGAAAATATTTGCAAATCATATATCTGACAAGGGGCTAATTTTCAAAATACATAAAGAACTCATACAACTCAACAACAAAAAAACAAACAACCTAATCAAAAATGGGCAGAGAATATGAACAGATATTTTTCCAAAGAAGACATACAGATGGCCAACATGCACATGAAAAGATGTTCAACATCACTAATTAGCAGGGAAATGCAAATCACAACCACAATGACATATCACCTCACACCCATCAGATGGCTATTATCAAAAAGACAAGAAATAACAAGTCTTTGAGAGGATGTAGAGAAAAAAGAACGCTCATACACTGCTGGTGGAAATGCAAACTGGTGCAGCCACTACGGAAAACAGTATGGAGATTTCTCAAAAAATTAAAAATAGAAATACCATATGATCCAGCTATTCCATTTCTGAGTATTTATCCAAAGAACATGAAAACACTAATTCAAAAAGATGTCTGCACCCCTATGTTCATTGCAGCATTATTCACAATAGCCAAGACTTAGAAGCAACCCAAGTGCCCATCAACGGATAAACGGATAAAGAAGATGTATCTATATACAAAGGAATACCACTCAGCCATAAAAAAAGACAAACCGTGCCATTCAAAACATGGATGGACCCTGAGGGTATTATGCTAACTGAAATAAGTCAGACAGAAAAAAGCAATTACTGCATGATTTCACTCATACGTGGACGATAAACAAACACATACATAAGGAAATAGATTAGTGGTTACCAGAGGAGAAGCGGGTGGAGAGAGGGCAAAAGAGGTAAAGGTTAAAAACTAGACTATTGATGGTGAACATGATTTTATAAGTAATGTTATATATATTAACTTAAAAATCCTAACAAAATAGACAAAAGCAGATTCTATCAATTAGTATTGCACTTAACATTTTGTTTAGAAAATAGGCTCAGGTGTTAAAGCCATGTGAGAGCCTTGAATGTAAACATATATGAATTTTCCTACAGCTATTTTCCTATAGCCATTTTGATACAACAGTTTTGACTTTTTTTTAACCTCAGTGTCATCATTTTGATGAAATGAAATACAACAAACAAAAATTTAACTTTCAGCTTTTAAAATACACACTCCATCTCTAAGCTTTATCTGAGGTTAAGGTGAGTATGCCTATTTTGCCTATTAAATGGATATTAAGATGTTGATTATTTTTAAATTTTGGAGCAGGTCAAAGTGGTCTGCTTTGATACACACCACTTTGGCATCTGGCCTCTATCATGCAGACTATTAGGAGCTACTGAAAGTTCTTAATCAGGTGAAAAACAAAATCAGATCTGTGTTTTAAGATCGCTTTTGTAGAAATGTGCCTAGCTTAGAAGGGAAATTGGAGGTGGAGAGAACAATTAAAAGATCATTGCACTACCCATCTCTTGCCTGAACTAGGATATCAGCAGTAGAAACACAAAAGAAGACTGATTTAAGAAATACTCAGAAGTAGAACTAACAATTCTTGCTAAAAATTTGGATTTGGGACAACATGATTAGGAAGAGTTGAAGACACCCTTGAGGGTTCCAGCTCCAGCAACTGGATGATAACAAGAAATGAGACACACACAAAGTGTTCCACACCTGGAGAATAACTAAATAAATTATACAAAAACTCTTGCTTCTCACATTAGATGTTTAAAAAAGGCTTAATTTGAATTAATTCCTTCCACCAACCCAAGCCACAACAACAAAAAGTTACAAACACAAAAATCTTTAAAAAGTCAATCTGGGGGGCCGGCCCCGTGGCCAAGTGGTTAAGTTCACACGCTCCGCTTTGGTGGCCCAGGGTTTCACTGGTTCGGATCCTGGGCATGGACATGGCACTACTCATCAGGCCACGCTGAGGTGGCATCCCACATGCCACAACTAGAAGGACCGAAAGCTAAAAATACACAACTACGTACCAGGTGGCTTTGGCAGAAAAAGAAAAAAAAATTTAAAAATCTTTAAAAAAAAAAGTCAATTTAGGGGCCGGCTGGTGGTGCAGCGGCTAAGTTCACGTGAACCACTTCTGCGGCCTGGGTTCACCAGTTTGGATCCCAGGCGAGGACCTACACACTGCTTATCAAGCCATGCTGTGATAGGCATCCCACATATAAAGTAGAGGAAGATGGGCATGGATGTTAGCTCAGGGCTGATCTTCCTCAGCAAAAAGAGGAGGCTTGGTGGCAGATGTTAGCTCAGGGCTAATCTTCCTCAAAAAAAAAGAAAAGAATACACATATTCCTCCACAGGACTCAATAAAGCTACTCTGATTTAAAAATAAATAAATAAAAAATAAAAAGTCAATCTGATCAATAAAAAAGATAATGGGTTCAGCTTCAAGATATCCAGCAGGCAGAGGCACTATCTCCACTCCTTCCCTTATGTGGTGGAGATCCCACGAGTAGTTGCCAAGGGGCTGGACGTGATTATCCAGGAAGAAGACACAGAGCAGCAGCACAACTGAGGATGTAGCCTAGAGACACCGATATTGAAAAGGCAGATGAAAGAAGAGGAGCCAGGTGAGATTAAAACTGACTGAAATGCATGTAAAGCAAAGGCAGAAATGATCCCATTTGGCTAAAGCAAAGGGTCAACATATGAGGCAGAGAGGAATTCCATAAAGAAGCCACACTATGAATATCAATCAGATTAAGAGGTTAGGAATTTTGTGGGCCAAGGATTTTCAAACATCTGGGGGGCTGGAAGGCTCATACTCCAACTCTCCCCACTTGTGCCCAACCCCCAGGTGCTGGCATTCATTGCAGGGCAAGTCTGAAAATCATTCCTATGGATGGTCATGGAGTTTCTGAATAGGAATTAACAGGAATAGGGGTGGCATCAGAAAGATTAATTGGATATCCCTGTGTAGGATGAATTAGAAAAGAAAAAAACCCTAGATTTTGGTAGCAACTTTGGTGTCAATTTCAGAGGTTGAATTGACAACCCAAATTAAGGTGTGGCAGCACAAAAAAGCTGCTTAAACAGGGTTTTGCTGGTCTGAAGAGTTGGGCATTTTTGGTGGGACTTGAGACCCTTTGGGGAATTTTTTTTGGGGGGGAGTGACATGGAGGCATTGGTTTAATGAGGGATTAATCTGGCGGTGGTAAACAGGACTGGATGGTAGGAAAGACTGGAGGTAGACAGACAACTAATTTGTTGTAGCTGCACAAGTGTGAAGTGATGAGAAACTGAAATATAGTTTCACATAGGCATTCCTTGGCAACATTCTGCTGTCTCTTCCAGAATGGTGCCTCCAGTTTCTGCCTGCCTCAGTTTCTGGTCACCTGGTCCCAAGAGGGGTCTGGACATGCCTGGACAATAGGTGCCTTGACCCATCTAGGTCAATTCTCCAGTTAGTACTGCCCATGCCTGACCTAGGCTGGCATTCTACAAGGCCTGTCCCTTCCATCCACTCCCACTTCTACCACTTTCATGCGTTTGCCTTCACCTCTCTTCTACTCCTCAAGTGAAGTAGCATATTTGGATGCTGTCATAGTCATACACTATTTGGAGGTATCATTTTCATTTTCATTCTTCTATTCCTACCACATCTGACAAAACAGACGGAAATGCTAGCCCAGGAGCAAGAACTTCTAAACCTAGCTCTACTACTGAGTTGTGTGGTCCTGGACATGTCATTTAACCTTTTCCGGCCTAAACCTTCTCACCTTGAAAATAGGGACTAGCAATTAGATTAATGACAGTTAACCTTGAGAAACTGATGAAAGCTACGGATTCCTTTCTCAGGAGATTCACATCTGCACATAGACAATCTATGAACTTCAGGAGATTCATAAATCCCCTTCAAGCCCATCTATAAACAATTTAAGACAGTGTTCTTAAAATACATGTACGTGGATCACCAGACGTGCTTATTAAAAATGCAGCTCCCAGACCCATCCCAAGAGATTTTGATTCACTATGTCTGGGGTGTAGGCCCAATAATTTATATTTTTCACAAAGTACTCGAGGTGATTCTGATGTACGTGGCCCATGCTGCACCATCACATCTAGAGAAACAAAGTACTTAAGGCATCCTTGCATCTCAAGTCAAAAACTTGGAAGAGATGCTCACTAAAATTCATTCTAGATATAAAGTTCTGCCTCTATCTTTGTGGGTCTGTATCATTGAGATAGAAATAATAAATAAAAATTATCTTCCAGGTCTTAAGTCTGAATGACTGCTGATGCCATTAGCACAAACAGAAAAATGCGAATTGTCCCATTTGAGCTGGGAAATTGGTAGTAGACGTATTTCAGAAGGGGAAGAAAAAGTTTGAGAGATGTTTACAATTTGTTAACTAGTTACCAAATGTTTCCAAAATCAAAACTAAATAAAATAAAATCCCAAATTTGGAACCTACAACTTTCTAAAGAAATGTAGGGACAGGTCGTTTCAAAAAGGACTTGTGGGACCAAAACCAGAAGCTCTTAATACTGTGACCAAACAATGAAATTTTCCATAGGATGTAACAGTCATTCAGCAGTGCTATGTTTTCCTGAGGAGATACAAGATTTAGCCATTTATATCTATGACGGGTGATGTGGGAAAGTAAATAAAACGTCACTCAAGTTTGAAAAACAAGAAAGAAATGTAGGGCTAAGCATGAGTCTCCGTGAGCTGAAACTATTAAATCAAAGCTACCACACACAGCAATACAAACTATTTAGCAGTATTTGCAAAATAACAGGATATGAAACTTACAGAGCAACAATTTCAACTACCTTATGGTCTAATAAATCCCAGTTTGTTTACTGTTATTATATACTTCTATTAATACAGAAGCAGAGAGGATGAACATGTTAATTTAGGTTTATAAAGCACCCACAACTTCCGTGGCACTTTGCATAAAGCATTTAACTTAACCCTCAGTGAGAGAAGTATCACTTGCACTGTATAAAGAAAGTGATCCCTCAAAGATTCACAGCTAGTTAAGTAGCCCGGTCTGAGCAAAACTGACCTCCTAATCTGATTATTTTCATTGTTACGAGAATTACCCGTCGCCCTTCTACCTGTCACCTCCACCCCATCCACCTGTGTCAATTTCCACAGGCGTCCTCCAACTCCTTTTAACCATCCCAGGAATGGCATGCGTTTCTCCAGGAGATGCACCCGTCCTCGTTCCTTGCCTCAGTTTCCCCGGCCAAGGGCTACAGAACAGGGAAGGAAGGCAGGAGAGTAAAAGAGGCGGTGTGCCGCACCCGGGCCCGTAGCCTCAGAGCGCCGCCCTTGACTGGCCCCAGAGCCGTGGCGCAGAAACCCGGCCCCCTCCTCACCCTTCCCGGGGACAGCCTCCCGGGCTAGCAAAGGCGAAACCAGGCTGCGGCGCGGGCTCGGAGCCAGGCCTGCACCGGGTTTCCGACAGCAAAGAGTAAAATTTCCTACAGCGGTCGGGCACCCTGCAAGCCGTCGCCGCAACTCGCAACCTAGAGGCCAGGCGCGACTACGGAGCGGGAGAGGAAGCGGCAGTAACGTTTACCTCATCCTGCTCGGGCCTGGCCGCTTCCGGCCTTTCCGGGTCGCCCATCGCGCAGACTCCGCCAGAGATACAGGAGCTGAGGGAACCGAGGGCCGCCGGCCACTTCCAACTAGGACCAGACTCAGGCGGTCCAAGGGTCCGCTGAGTCCGCCCCGCCCCCAGCTGCGGAGACCCCTCCTACTCCGGCCGGCCCCGCCCCGCTCCATTGCGCCGGCCCTAGCCTGGCCCCGCCTCCCCTCTCAGGGCCCCGCCTACTCCGGCCGGCCTCGCTCCACTCCACTGCCGGGGCCCTGACAGGGCCCGCCTGCGGCCTGAGGAACTCTCTCGGCCTCGGACAACCCCAGACCACGCCACTGCGCCGGCCCCGCCTCCCTCCTGCCCAGTGAGGGGCTCTCCAGGCGCCTGCCGGCCCCGCCTCCCCCGCCTCAGGGCCCCGCCCACTCCAGCAGGCACCGCCCCACTCCGTCGACTCCGCCTCCCGCCTGCCTTCTGAGGACCTCCCCGGGAGCCCGCGGTCTGAGCGGCTAGGCTCCGGCCGCCTCGCCCGCGGCGGGCTGTGCTCACGTGGTACGGGAGGTGCCTGGACATGCCCGGTCACCGGCCCGGGTCGGCGTTCCCCCGCTAGCTCGCGCCGTGCCTCGGAACACGGTATGTCGCGCGAACTCGGCCTGTCCTCAGAGACTGCCAGGTGGCGGTGGGCCCACACACAGGATGACAGAAGAAGGAGAGAGCGCTATTCAAGTGTGAAGTGGTGGTGGCGAAAAGCCACACTATTGGTGAAAAACAAAGCCGCACCGTTAAAAATAATTAATGAGAAGAGGCCGCCTTGTTTTGTGTTTAAGCAACCGCAGAGAAGTGGTTGAGGGCCGAGTGTGCGTGTGAAGGGGGTAGGTGGGGCTCGAGAGTGAGGAGAGGGAAAATGACTACATTGAGGAAGCTGTTTTGAAAGTTCTGGGAAATTGTTTCACGCCGCCGAGCTCTGACGAGTGTTTATGGAGCTGACAAAGGTCAGGCGCCCTGTACTCAGCACCCTCTGTGAATGGAGTCATTGAATCTTGAGGACAGCTCTGTGAGGTGGACTGCAGTGTCCCGCCTCTTAGAGATGAGAAACTCGGTCTTAGGGTAAATGACTAACATGATCCACAGTCTCCCGCTCAATGCGCTTTTCAAGGTCCTCAGTTAGAGTAGGGGAAAGAGGAAACACTCCCAGGTAATGGCAGTAGGCAGGGGCTACTGATGGTCACAAAAATTTGGTTGAATTACTAATACCCATCTCTCAGGGGAACTATCTAAAGATAACTCCGACAGAAAGAAAAAATAGTTTGGTCTAACAAATAAAAGTGAGATGAAAGAGAGATTTGTTTAAGTAGCTTGAAGCTGAAATATTGAGGGAAGCCTTGGACAAACATGCACCTGTTTTGTGGCTAGCTGTGTGAAGTAGAATAGAAAATTAAGCTTTTGAAAAGAACAATCTTTTTAAAAAACACAAAACTTCTTTCTAAAACCTGCCCTAGAGTGGGGGATGAGAGGTATCCTTTCTTAGGCAACTACTGGTGGTCAAGTGCTGAGTAAAATGTTTTGCATATATCAACTAAAATTAAATAAATTCTATAAGGAAACCATCTTAAAGAAGCTAGATAATTTATCATAGGCCACATGGGAAATAAACGAAGAGCAAGGATTCTATTATTTAAGTCATTGAACAACCTGTCTACTATATGTCAGGCATCATATTTAGTATTGAAAATACAGAAATGAATAAGCATAATGAAAAAGAACATGGATCCTGGAGCCATATCATCATAGGCATTAATTCTAGCTCCCCTGTTTATTAGTTGTGCTATCTTGGACAAGTTATGTAGCCTCTCTGAGACTCAGTTTCCTCATCTGCAGGATAAGAATAATAATAATTCCTTCCTTATAAGATTGTCGTGTGGATTTAATAATATATTACTTGTAAAACACTTATTGGGGTGGGAAATTACACCATTAGCTTCTGGGTACACTACTCATCACGCCTTCCTGGAGATCATGGAACGGAAAGGCTCAGATCAAACTGATTAGCTTGAATCACACAGTTTATTAAATTAAAACATACATCAAGGTGAAATAGATGAGGTGGCTAACATATTTAAGATAGAGTGTGGGGAGGGGAGGGAGTGGAAGTACCGTACTATAAAGATTATTAAGATACTATTAAGATTATTCTACTTACTTTCTTTCAGTTTTTATAGCAGAATTGAATAATCTTAAATAATATAGCAAAAACACATTACAGTGCTTATAACAGTACATGCTGCATAGTAGGCCATATGTATTACTTTCCCTCAAGATGTTTAAAGTTAAAAGGGAGAGCAAATGTAAAAAATTAAAGGTGTAACTGAAAGATCTGTGGGTGTGAGAGGATTCCGCAACTTCATATAGCCTCTGTGGTGTATTTTATGTTTTCAAAAAACAGCCACAGTTACATTTCTGGTCCCACATGCTGTTCCAGAACCTTGATGCTCCTCTCTTCAAAAGGTGGAGTCTAATTCCCCCTCTGCTATGATCTGAATGTTTGTGTCCCCCAAAATTAATATGTTGAAAAGCTAGTGCCCAAGGTGATGGTAATAGGAGGTAGGACCTTTGGGAGTTGATGAGGTCATGAGAGTGGAGCCTTCTTGAAAGGGATTAGTGCCCTTATATGGGATTGTTTGTTTTTTCTGCATTGAGTTGTATGTGTTCTTTATATATCTTGGATATCAACCCCTTATCGGGTATATGATTTGCAAGTATTTTCTACCATTCAGTAGGTTGCCTTTTCATTTTGTTGATGGATTCTTTTGCTGTGCAGAAGCTTTTTAGTTTGATGTGGTCCCACTTGTTTATTTTTGCTTTTGTTGCCTTTGCTTTTGGTGTCAGATCCAAAAAATCATTGCCAAGACTGATGTTAAGAAGCTTTTGTTTTAGGAGTTTTATCGTTTCAGATCTTATGTTCAAGTCTTTAATCCATTTTGAGATGATTTTTGTGTATGGTGTAAGATAGTGGCCTGGTTTCTTTCTTTTGCATATGGCTGTCCAGTTTCCCCAACACCATTTATTGAAGAGACTATCCTGTCCCTGTTGAATATTCTTGGCTCCTTTCTTGTAAATTAATTGACCATTTATGTGTGGGTTTATTTCTGGGTTCTCTATTCCGTTTCCTTGATCTATGTGTCTGTTTTTATGCCAGCACCATATTGTTTTTATTACTATAGCTTTGTAATATAGTTCTTTTTAACTTTTTTTTTTTAGGAAGATTAGGCCTGAGCCAACATCTGCCACCAGTCTTCCTCTTTTTGCTGAGGAAGTGGCCCTGAGCTAGCATTTGTGCCCCTCTTCCTCTATTTTATATGTGGGACACCTGCCACAGCATGGCTTAATAAGTGGTGCTAGGTCCTCATCAGGATCCAAACTGGCAAACCCAGGGCCACCAAAGCAGAGCGTGCAAACTTAACTGCTACACCACTGGGCTGGCCCCTGTAATATAGTTTGATATCAGGCAATATGATACCTACAGCTTTGTTCTGCTTTTTCAAGATTGCTTTGGGTATTTGGGGTCTTTTGTGGTTCCATACAAATTTTAGGATTGTTTGTTCTGTTTCTGTGAAAAATGCCATTGGAATTTTGATAGAGATTGCATTGAACCTGTAGATTGCTTTGGGTAGTATGGACATTTTAACAATATTAATTCTTCTTATCCATAAACATGGAATATCTTTCTACTTATTTGTGTCTTCTTCAGTGTCTTTCATTAACATCTTATAGTTTTCAGTGTATGGGTCTTTCACCCCCTCAGTTAATTTTATTCCTAGATGTTTTTTTCTTTTTGATGCAATTGTAAATGGGACTGTTTTCTTAATTTCTCTTTCCAATAGTTCATTATTAGTGTATAGAAACTTAACACATTTTTGATATTGAATTTATATCCTGCAACTTTACTGAACTCGTTTATTAGTTCTAACAGTTTTTTGTGGGTTTTTTTGGTGAAGAGATTGGCCCTGAGCTAACTTCCATTGCCAGTCTTCCTCTTTTTGCTGAGGAAGATTAGCCCTGAGGTAACATCAGTGCCCATCTTCCTCTAATTTGTATATGGGATGCCACCACAGCATGGCTTGATGAGCAGTGTGTAAGTCCAAGCCCAGGATCTGAACCTGTGAACCCTGGGCTGCCGAATCAGAGCACATGAACTTAGCCACTATGCCACTGGGCCAGCCCTGGTTCTAACAGTTTTTTGATGGAGTCTTTAGGGTTTTCTGTATATAGTATGTCATCTGCAAATAGTCACAGTTTTATTTCTTCCTTTTGAATTGGATGCCGTTTATTTTTTTTCTTGCCTAATTACCCTGACTAGGACTTCCAGTACTGTGTTGAGTAAAAGTGGCAAGAGTGAGCATCCTTGTCTTGTTCCTGATCTTAGAGGAAAAGCTATCAGTTTTTTACTGTTGAGTATGATGTTAGCTGTGGGCTTATCATATAGCCTTTATTATGTTGAGGTACATTCCCTCTATACCCACTTTGTTGAGAGTTTTTATCATAAATTGATGTTGAATTTTGTCAAATGCTTTTTCTGCATCTATTGAGATAATCATATGATTTTTATTGTTGATTTTGTTAAAGTGGTGTATCACACATTGATTTGCAGATGTTGAACCATCCTTGCATCCCTAGGATCCTTTTAATGTTTTGTTGAATTTGGTTTGCTAATATTTTGTTCAGGATTTTTGTGTCTATGTTCATCAGGGATATTGGCCTGTAATTTTCTTTTCTTGTGGTGTTCTTGTTTGGTTTTGGTGTCAGGGTAATGCTGGTCTCATGAGTTTGGAAGTGTTCCCTCCTTGACTGTTTTTTGGAAAAGTTTGAGAAGGATTGGTATTAATTCTTTGAATGTTTGGTAGAATTTACTAGTGAGACCATCTGGTCCTGACTTTTGTTCTGAGGGAGG